GGGAAGGTGGAAGGTGAAGGGGGTAGGTGAAAGGAGAAGGTGAAGGTGGATGGGGAAGATGGAGGTGAAGGTGGGAGGTAGAAGGTGAAGGTGGAAAGTGAAGGTGGAAGGTAAAAGGAGAAGGTGAAGCTGGAAGGTGAAGGTGGAAAGTGGAAGGTGAAGCTGGAAGGTGAAGGTGGAAGATGAAGGTGAAGGTGGAAGGGGAAGGTGAAGGTGGAAAGTGAAGGGGGAAGGTGAAGATGAAGATGTCCCTCCCCGTGTCAGGGGTGGCTGGGTGAGCTCTGAGCTCCCTCCACCCCAAGCCAGGCTGTGTTTCTGTGGCCCCCCRAGCCCAGAGCTGTGTGTTTGTGCAGGTGCTGCTCCGGGGCCGTGGTGTGGCCGGCCCGTGCCCGGGCTCCCTGGGYTGGTGCCCGCAGCAGGACCCGCTCTGGCCACAGCTGACCGTGCTGCAGCACCTGGAGACCTTCGCTGCCGTCAGAGGGATGAGGGARGAGGATGCAGCTCTTGCCATCAGCTGGTAGGGAGCCAGATGAGCTCATCTCTTGGTTCTCCGTCCCTCCAGAGGCAGGGAACCTTCCAGCCCAATCACTCTGTGATTTTATGGGGAGGGAAGGGTTTCTCTGTTACAAATGTGGCCTCCGTGCCTCTTACCCCAGAGAGGTGGGATCTCCTGATGAGTTCTACTTTATACTGTTCTAAGTCCCTTGCCAGTGAAAGCTGTAGCCCAAGTTTATGTGGGAAAATTAAAAAAAAAAAAAAATCAAACTTGCCCCATTAAATGGCCAATTCCATGAGAAACTCGCTTCTCTCATTAGCTGCAATTGCTGCCTTGAATTTCTGTAAAAAATGCCTTAATTTACCATCCAAGTTAGGGGCAAAATTGCCAAGTAACCCAAGGTGATGCTTATCAGCCAGCACATGTCTGGGTCTGGTTCCTCAGCACCCCTGACCGCAGTGTTTGCACACCAAGAGATCATTCCAGGCTTTTCCCTTTCCATCCCCACAGTTTAGGAAAGGCCCTGGATCTCCTGAAGCATTTCAAGAGCCCAGCCAGGAGTTTATCTGCTGGAGAAGCCAGAATGGTACGTGCTGACTTTGTTTTATTTTCCTTGAGCAAACCCTGCTTGCTCTTCCTTGGATGTGGTGCACAGGAAACCTTCAGCTGAGTGGATTCCTGATTTTCATCACTGATTTTCATCAACACCTTCTGGATCCAGCCTGGCACTCCCTGCATTCCCTCACCTGCTTTCCCCACTCTCCTGCCCTCTGTGTTTAATAAGTGCTAACCACAAATTGGATTTGCAGTCACCTCTTCCTGCCCCACCACCTGCATCTGCCAGTAAATGGGATGGAAAACCACTTTCACATCTTTGGCAGGCTCGGGAGTTTTGGGGAAATCTGATTTTGAGAGATTGAAATGTTAACTGAGAGCACCAGAAATGCTATTTTTTTTTTTTTAAATCTCTGTTCCTTCTGCATTTTGGAGTCGAGAGCTTCAGCTTTGAAAAACTCACAGGGATGAGATGAACAAGTTTTGGAGGTGAATAAAACAGCCCTGATTTGGTGTTGCTCCCATTCCAGCTGTCCTTTGCTCTGAGCATCCTGGGAGACCCGGCAGTGATGGTTTGGGATGAGCCCTCCRTGAGCATGGACCCCAAAGGGCAGCGCCGAATGTGGTGAGTGGCCCTGGCTGGGCAGGAATCACAGCTCTGGGACAGATTTAACTGGTGGGACTTATCCTTCACCATTGTAGGAGCTCTTGGGCAGGCAAAGAGCTCTTGCCATGGTGCAGAGCACATCTGTCTTTTCCCTTTTTTCTGATGCCCAGGGGATGGGGAGAACTTGCTGAGCTTCTCGCTCAGCTGCCAGCAAACCCTGTGACAAAATGGTCATTAATCCCCCCAAAAAATCTCAGTAGACACCAGCTGAATCCATGCATTTGGTACCAAAGACACAAATTCTGTTTTTCTTCAGACCAAGAGAAAAAATTGTCGGTAGTTCTTCCGTTAGTCATTTATCCCTGGTGTTTGCTTCAGTGTTTTGTCAAAAATTTACACCGTAAGTGTAAGAGTTGGGGGATGCTGATGTGATAAATTGCAGCAAAGCATTGACATCCACAACATCTTTAAACAAGAAAAYCRAAGTCTTTTAAATAATCACCCACCYTTAATARTTCTAAAAATTATTTCAGGGGAGAGAGAGATAAACCAGGAGATTTCTGTGGCTGTTCCCAGGCAGTGACTGTKGTCCCTCTGTTCCCAGGAAAATCATCCAGGCCTCCATGAAGAGCAAGGAGAGGGCAGCTCTGCTGTGCACGCAGTCCCTGGAGGAGGCAGTGGCCATGTGTGACCGTGTGGCCATCCTGGTGGCCGGCCRGCTCCGGTGGGCTTTGGGATGGGGGGTTGCTGGGGCTTTTTTGGGGTTTTGAAAATAGAAAATACTGGTTTGGATACTTCCACGTGGGTAACAACCAGTTTGGTGAGCTGATGAATGAGGAGATGTTCATCTGCTGCTCAACACCAGCGATGGATACTTATTTGATTAATTTCTTTGATGGATTTGTTTGATGGCTTTATTTTATGGATTTATTTCATGGCTTTATTTATTT